GTACTGGTGACTGACAGCGGCAAATATGTCCAAAGTTGTCATTTTACTCCCTTCTATTTATGTTCGCAATATATGTAGAATACTGATTACCTGTTGCTATGGCACCGCTGGCAAGCTCCAAGTTCGGTGCACAAATTCAATTCGAGGCGCCCCTATGCTCCCGTCACAGCCAAAGTAGATAAGTACACGACTACGTGAGGTGACTCTGAGAACGCCCTATAGTAACAGACCCTCAATTCAACCAGTGGCGCATTCAACTCACTGACAAATTGAAGCCACGGTTGGGGTTTCAGGCGCAGTTTCCCTAGGCTTTCGGATTGCCTGTCCAATCGGTAAATTACGGAAGCCCTTAGAACTCCATTTACATAAGAAGAAGTTGCAGACATTTTCACATGTTGTTTTAGTGTGGAGGATGCATAAACATGATGATGAATCGTAAATATTAAAAGGAAATGACATTTGCGAGATAACAGCGAAAAACCACTGCATTCGCACGGTGAAATTTTCCTATAGTTCAATGTTAATGCAAACAAAACGAGCTACTGTAATCATGCTAGTAGTATGTCGGTAATAATCTTAGTAATCCGTCCGATGGGGTTTGGGGAGTCCGGGTTGCCCTTTAACAGATGATTATCCAGATTTCTATTGAACACACCCGCGGTACGGGAATGTGCACCATACATCGGTAAAGAATTACACTGGCGAATGGCTCTCTGTGAGAAAAAGGCGGAGCGTTGATTGGTGCGGCGCAGTTCTTCTTTAAGCTAGCAATCGTGTCGTCTCAGATTAGTCTTTGATGCCACTTTGGAAAGTGTTTCCCAGTTGACATGCAGGCCAGGTCCTCTTAGCAACTGAAACGTTGCTACGACGTCACCTCTGCCCTGTCTGTAGTGGAGGGGATAGAGATTCAAGGAGGAAAGGTACTGCTCGTGCCAAGTTTATGGGAAAATAAAATGATTTGTCCTTAAAACTCGTAGAAATTAAACGATAGATATTTCAACAATTCGACACAATTTGAAATGTCACCAGTTTTCTCCCATGGAACTACGGATTACATTTCGAAACTGCTTCTTTTGCTGTGAAACCAAATATATAGATGGGATATCATACCGCGTGATAAGGGCGCGGTTAAGAATTGATCGGATAAGACAAACAGTTAGGCAGATTTTTAATATTTGCTTGGATTACATTGTTCATTCATTACCTGAGGTCGAGATATGAGTGGTGTTCGGTCAAAATAAGCACTTTTTGCCTCACCGGAAACGATGTTTACACGATTGCTACTGTAATAATGTAAGTAGCAAAAGTACATGTCATTAACAGTGCAGTCATAGTTGTCTTCGAAGGTCGCACCAGATGCCCGTGCTTGACATAAAACACTAAGCTTCGGATTTCCAAACAATACCATCACAAGTGATAGCCAAGAGCCAAGACACGGATCTAGCTGATTATTGTGATGACCACCATCACCATTACCAGTGAGCACTCTCCCGGTGCCCCGGAATTGCCCAATCGCCACCAGCCTGTCCTCATTGCAATCGCACCTTTACAACACGCATCGGCCTGGCCGGTCACTTGCGAATCCATCGCACTGAGAC